GTTTGTGTGTGTGTGTGTGTGTGTGTGTGTGTGTGTGTGTGAGAGAGTGTTTGTTTGTGTGTGTGTGTGTGTGTGTGTGTGAGTGTGTGTGTGTGTGTGTGTGAGAGAGAGAGAGAGTGTGTGTGTGTTCCAGTTCAGGAAAAGCTGATTTTCTATCGTCTTTAATGTTCAGAGTGGCGATATGCATCAGGAAATGTCTGTTTGGCTGTAACTGGATTTGAGCAGCGTTCACCTGCTTGATGCATCGACCACACGCGGGTCTGATGGGATCATGAGGGCGTCTAATGGCTTCAGCTGATGACATTTAGATGAAGAGCCTGATGGATGGATTGATGATTCAATAACTCGCTTTCTGTTTGATTTTAGACTCTTACCTCCTCTTCTGATGTTTACAACCATTTCTTGGTGCTTTTAGTGCCGTTTTCCCAATTTAAATCTTTTTCATGTTTTCTCAAGTGTGTCTGTGAGTGTTTCCTGCAGAGACACAGACGGCTGAACGAGTCAAGAGTATTCAGCTCATCCACACACACCGTTATTCAGAGGTGTAAAGAGTACCTAAAAACCATACTTGAGTCACCAATTCCAAAACAACTTGAGTAAAAGTCTTAGAGTATCTGATTTTAACAGTACTTAAGTTTTTTACTTATACTAAATATAGGCTCACAGATGCACTAGCCAAAGAGACATGCCAGTGATAAACTAATGTTGTGCAGAAGCTGCGGAAAACAGGCAGAGGCAAGGATCTATGTGCAGGTATTTCACTGAAAAACTAGAACAAACAATGAGCCAAAAACCAAAGGGAACAAAGAACAGAATGACTGGCAAATATACACACAGGGGGCTAACAAGCTTAACAAGATAAGACACACCTGGGGAGACTAATCAAGGGGAACCAATGAACAACCGGACTACAAACTGACTACAAACACCACGGGAGACAGGAAGTGACATAAAAGTCCAGGGCAAGGCACAGAGAGCATGAAACAAAAACAAGAATGAGTTGATTTGTGAGGAGAGCAATCACATTTATATTCTAAAACCAAAATAAAACGGAACACCTCAAAATTACAAACCTAAACAAAAAACAATATTTTTCAAAAAGGTCTCTTCAGTATAATGGATAAATAAAATAATGTTAAGTAAAATTAAAAAGCTGAAGCCTTCTTGCAGTGGATGTGCTGGTTTGGGCCTCATTGCCGGCTGCAGTCATGTCCTCATCTCATATATA